TTGCCAAGGCGGGGGGGGGGGGGGGGGGTGACGCGAGGGAGCAGAAAGGAGAAGAGCTCTTTTCGGTTTTCTCCAGTTCCCACACGGGCAGGCCCGGCCCAAAGGGGAACAGAAGTCACAGGCAACCCCTGACTGGCAATGAGGAGCCGGCAGCTCTTGTAGCTCCCAAAGGAAAGCGGTTGGGTGACCCCGGGAGCCCTTGGCCGTGCCGAGGGAGGGATCCCGGGATCTCCCGCTCCCTCGGGCCCAGGAGGCCGCGGGCGCTTTCCGCCTCCCTCAGCCGCGGCCCGGGGGACGCGAGGGGTCTCCCGGGCACTCCGCCAGGGGCCGCGCAGCCCCTGGCACCGGGGAACGATGGGGGGCGGTGGGGAGGAGGGGGCGGCCGGCTCGCCCCAAACCCAAAGCTGCCCCTCTCTCCCTCCTTCCCGCCGCTTCCACGGGCGGCTGCCCCTGGGAGCAGCCGCCGCTCTCTTACTCTGGTTTCTCCGCCGTCGCACCGGTGCAGCCCCCCCGTCCAGCCCCTGGCGAGTCCCGGGCACGGCCGCCGCCACCGCCCGTACGTGGCAGGGCAGAGAGAAGGGGCCGGAGGGAGGCCGGGCCTGCGCGAGCCGCGCGCGTGCGCGCTCCGCCGCGCGGGGCTCCGCCCCGTCTCGGCCAACATGGCGGTACCTCATTGCCCGCGCGCCGCCTCGGCGCTGCCATGGCGAGGCAGATCTCTGACGGAATGTTTCTTTCGAAATACGAGCCTTGGCCTTCGCAGCTGGCGGTGCTCGGAGCAAAAAGCGGCCGTAAAATTCCCCTTTACTTGTTGGACTTGTTATACACGCCCACACAGGAGCCACTTACTCTTGAATGGTCACATCCAGGCATTCATTACTATCGTACCCGCACACACCCTCACACTCCCCTGTCTTGCATTCAGAGTTTAACCCCCTAAGAGTGAAAAAACCATGAATCCGCAGCTAATTTCCTGAGTTTTGTCAATGGAAGGTGTAGGAATGGATTCCTAAGGGTGCCTCTCCCAGGGTTACTGGAAGTGGGCCGCGCGTTGCTCGGGGATAGTTGGGATTTCTGCTGCTTGCGAGAGAGGTGCCTATGCAGAACTACTTAAAACACAACTGTGCTTACTTATTTCCTGCAGTTAAAGATGCCTCTGAAGAGACACCTTTTCCTTTAATATCTTAAAAAGAAAAGCTTCCAAGTAGTGTTTTCTGCTGGGACAAGAAAAAGGTAGGCGTTGTTTAATTTTTGTAGTATCTGTCCTCTTCAGAGAGCTTTGTCCCTGCCTAGAGGAGGGTCCAACTAGCAGTAAGCAGGTTGGAGATGGAGGTGAGAATTTGAAAACGAAGTGAGAAAAGATGAAGACGATACAAATCTAAGATTTTAATCAAGATTTTAATTCTAAACATTTCAAGGACGAGGAGGGGCATAGTTCAGGAGGCTTCTTTGCTAAATTCTACCAAGTATTTAGAAAATATTTGGCTATTTTCAATGAAAAAAAACCTTTAAAAAATATAGGAAATATCTGGAAAACTGGACATTTCTATACATTACACTTTCTGCCACTTGTATTGCATACCTTTGTACTGATGATTCAACCCTTCTCCAATCCATTTCTTTATCAAAGCAGTGTTTCCAAAGTGAGAACAAGAAAATTCATGACCCTTAAAGCCCACATGTCACAAACATTACCAAAGTTCACTATATTGTGAAGATAAATATATTCCACGTGTAGATAAGAGCTGAACTATTGTTCCTGTAATCATTTAGCATATAACCTGAAAAAGATCATTTTAGTTTGTTCCATTTCTGAAATTAGGATTCCCTAGATGGAAGAAAACAAAGCTATAAAATCTATAAGGGGGGGGGGGGGCTTTGTGCTGAAAATGTTTTATATTAAGGAAGACATGTTCAGTGTCAGCAATAACAGTATTTTATTCACATCTGAAATACTTAGAGACAGGATGCTTAATTAGTAAAAGAAGCCAGCCCTTCTAATTCCATACTTCAAATTCTTGGGGATTTTTTTTTGCTTGTTTTTTGGATTAATATGGAAACAATATTTTTATTATTTTTTAAGTGGTTCAAAATTAAATGGGATGTTCTTTAGAGAATACTTTTATTTGTAGGGAAAAAATATCAATGAGTAGAAACTATTATCACTCAAGGAGTCATCCTCACAGTGCCTAGCTTTGTTCTACAACACAATCAAATATCATCCTTCCTAAACCACACAAATTTCTAAAGTAAAATTCCTGGAGGAAATTGGAGGAATTTTCAAAAACAAGCATTATACATCGGATTTACAAATAAAAAATGGATGCCCACAGGTACATGAACTTCCTATTAAAAAAAAAAAAAAAAGTATTAACTACCTGTCCTAAGTAACTTTTAATAACCTTCTCTGCTTTTTTCTGGAGCAGTAGTGATGAACTTCAGCCTTGCTTCTGATGTGACTGCTCTTTTTAGAGGTTTATCGGTGCTACAGTACACTTATTTTCTGCCTAATAAGAGAACGTGGATTTCTAAAACATGGAGGATGTTTCAGAACTGCTGGAACACTTCTTTGAAGACACTCAGAAATATGTAATTTGTGACACTCTCGTGTAATTTGCAGTGTACTTATAACTGCTGTTTGTTGATATATACCCTTTGGTTTCTAATTAAATTGACTTTTTGCTTATGAAAGGGAGAGGAGAGCTGCAGTGCATTGGCCATGTCCAATGGGCCTGGAATATTCAAAGAGCATAAAGAGATCAACTTCTATATGTCTGTACTGGAGTATAAAACTGTCCTTAGCTCAGGTCCTTGCAAAGACCTTGGAATACAAGAAGTACCGAGAGGCTCTGGTGCTGCCTGGCTGATTTGCAGTCACACTGTCCTGCCAGCATGTGCTCCTGCTCCTGGCTCCTTGTGGTCTCAGCTTATGATCTGTTTCCAGCGACCTGCTGCTGAAGAAGTGTGTCTGTCATTCGAGGTACCTGTGAGAGCTGCATGAAACAAACCATGAACAATGCAGGACTGTATTTCACATACTCGCAGGTTTCTAGTTCCAGTTTGGGAAGGTAGACAAGAAAATACTGTCAGAAAAAGTCTGGGTTGATCTGAAAGTTTCCTGTGAATGTTTTTCAGGCTGTGATTTTGAAACATTTTATGTTCTTGAATGCAGATATAGTGGTACCTTGAAAACAAGAAACACTTTGGGAACTCTTTTTTTTTTGAAGAATGGTGTTCTGAAAGTGAACAGAATACAAATCTGGAGTCCTTGTAGAGGAAATGAAAGTGTGGACTAAATATTTTGCTGTTAAAACCAGAAAAGATTAGTCAATGTGACTTAATTTGAAAAACAACCATAAAATGATTTTTGGTAACTGCTAACAATTACATCAATAACTCAAAATAAAAGAAGTACTTTCAATAGGAAAACAATTCCCTATAGACGATTCCCAACTATAGATGCCTCATTTGCACATTGTAATGGATTAGTTAGCATGTGTCAGGAGCCTGGCTCAGGATCGTATTATTACTCTCATCTGGATAGGATGAAGATAAGACCTGGCTGAAGATGCCATAAGCATTAAATGTGGTGTGCCATATCAGCACTTCAGTCAGATTCACATAAAGGGAATAAAGACTTTAACATTTCTATGCCAGTTTTCTAAATTCTCATTTCAAGGATTAAACAGGAGAATCCTGAGTCAAAAAAAAAAAAAAGTCTCATGTTTTTAAATAAATGTATTTCTGTTTCCTGTTCAGTTTTAAATCCTGGGCATAATCTGTCCATTGGTGTGGTATGATTACCTCAGGACTTTTTGCACAGAGTTTGCAGATCTGATTGTCATGTGTACAGGCACTCAGTTTTCAGTAGATCAAACTGATAATGAACAACTTAAAGTTGGGGATGGGTGGATTTTTACATATTTCCAATCAGCTGTTATATAGAATATAGCCAGGGGTGTAATAATGAAGAATCCATTATTCCAAGTACTTCATATGCCTTATATGAAGGGATGCATTTATAGGAATACAAGGCCAAGAATCCAGCAGGACTGTGGGGGGAAAGAAGAGGCAGACACTTTCCTGAAGGCTTTTTTTCAGTATCACTGTGAAAGGCCTCAAGCCATGAAGCTCTTGTTACTTCCCTGGAACTCTTTCCAACAGCTATTGCAGAAGAGTGTTTTCTTGCTATTCTTTCTGAAAATAATTTCATATGTGATTTGGTATAAGAGAAGCCACACAGACAGAACAGTTTTTTCAGTGCTGACGTTGAATTAAAATCCCACCTTTGTTTATACAAGGGGAAGTTGTTATGTGTGACAGATAAGCATCCATTTCTGAAAAAAAAACCCAAAAAACTGAATCCCTATTACTGTCAAGCTGTAGAACAAATAAGTCTGATTTTTGTTTTTAAATCTCAATTATTAGTCTCAGAATTGCTAAATATTATACCTGGGTAGCATTTAAAATGCAAAGCAGAAAGCTGAAAACAAGACTTGTTTTTTTATTATTTATTAAGATGAGGTAGCCAATCATCCAGGTGATCCTGAGCACTACCACTATAGAGACAGTGCTAATCATATTTTTCGTTAATGAATCCTTTCTATTCTTAGAAGCACACACACAAAAAGTTATTAAATCTTTCTCTATACCATTTAATATCTGAGTTTAAAACTTCCTATTTATTCAGAGCTATATTGGAAAAATGTGTTATTAAGGTGGGGTGAGAAGATACACTTCCCTACATTTGTTTGATGTATCATTCAGAGAAAAAATACAGAGAAATAAATTTATCAGACTAATCTGTATTTGGAGTATGCAGCTTGGATGTATCTGTTTTTAATTTAAAAAGTGAGGTTCACCAAGGCAATTTAAAATTAACATGTTAGCTATTACAAGTTTTTTAGACAACTTATAGATTCATCCAAATGCACTTTATTTTCAGCATAAGAATTAGCTGTCCATGAAGTTTGAATATCCAGTTTCTCTCAAGCCTGAGCAGACTCAGAAATAAGGTATTTTGTTTGCTCCAACCACGAAAATTGTACTTAAAGAAATGAAGAAATGGTACAAAGTTTTGCTAAATGAATCAGTCCCATGGAATTAATAAAAATTAAAGCAATCCTTTTTTAAATAATATAGTGTACACTGAGGGCTTGTGACACACATGGAGCCTGTGACAATACATGGAGTGTTAATATAAAACTGAGCAAGTAAATCAGCTTCAAGCTGCTCGATAACTGGTGTGGTGTTTGGCTGTGCTGAGAAATCCGTAATTCTCAGTTGTCTGCACCTACTCTTCTCTCACTCTTAAGGATTTAAATTGGGAATAAAACTGTCTTTGAAGTCAAGCTGAGTGACCCTGCAATCCAAAAAGGGGGACAAAATTCTGAATGTGTTCATTGATATGCACTTGAGCAAAGTCTGGCCCATTGTAACAAAGGGAATTCATTTTCTGCCTGCTTAAAGTATACTTTTCTTTAAAATAAAAGATTTTGTCAAAAATCCAAATTTGTGACAAGAAAGTCTGAGCTGGTGTCAAGAGACTGAGGAATAAATTTTTTGAAACATCTGAGGAGTCCTGTGCCATCTCACCTTATCAAATTAATCTTCTTCCATACCACAGAGATACTGATCCTGATAAAGATCAAGATGTTAAACAGGAGTATGAGTGCTACTGGCAAGAGGAATGACCACAACATGGGCTTTTACACACTGAAATCTGATATTAGTCCAGTGCTGCAAGCCAGCAACTTTGACTATAAAGAGAGGTAGTTTCAAAAGATACATTAGACACATTATTCAGAATACCAAAACAAAACAAAATAATATTCCACTTTCTATCCTGAAAGACTTTACAGTGCTTTCTAGGTCTTGTCAACTTAGCTCTGACAGGCAGCTATTCCTTGTGAAATGAGGGCCTTCAATCATGCTTCTCTTCTCTGGAGAATGCAAAATGATACATCAAACAAAATTCACAGAGAAATAATAAAGTGAGTTATAATTAACCAAGTAGATATCTGGCCACCACATATGCATTTATCTTTAGGATATATTTTACACTAAAAAGTTGTAGGGGAGATCTAATGGACAAAGGCTGAAGAAAAACAGGGACAGCTTCAGAAGAGCAGGATTATCCTGTAAAAACCTCTACCTCTTTTATTTTTCATTTTCCAATAATCTCATGTTAGAAGTCCACACGTCCTAAATGTGTATCACAATATGATCACCATCTGGAAGGGGGTTTGTGTTTACATTTCCTGAACAAGTCTGCCTTTCTTTTGTATCATCCACTACTGCCAAGGCACATTGTAAGCCTGATAGCCTGCTTTGGTATGTGAGCACTCCAATGAGTACTTATGCCAAAAACACAGGGCAAATAAGAATATAGTTATTATGGCCAGATTTTAAATACATGTGAGGTATGTCTTTTTCAGTGCATTAATTTAATTACTTTAATACATTAAATGTAGGTACTGAAATGTAGTTATGCACTTAAGTGAAGGGGTGAAGTATCAGTTAGGCTGTGGGTGTCTGCAGTTTGCATTTCAATTCACAGAGGGCTGCACAGTCTTGCAAGATTCAAGGCAGATGTAGATCCAGTACCTTAGATCTTTAGTAAGGAGAAAATGTGCTTCCTTCTAGTGAATATATAGGTTGAGTGAAGGGTTTTATTTCTTTTGGCTACTTAGAAGTACAAAATAGCATACCAACAATACTTCTAGAATTGTATTAATAATAAGCCATCACAAAAGGCCTGGGATAGCAAGTGTTGTAATAGTATGTGGACTTAAAATTCTTCCTTGGTAGTTTAGAGCTTTTCCTTCTCTGTCAGTAGCAATAACAGTTGCAGTGTTATTGCAACTACTGTGGCAGGGATTCCTAATTGATAAAAGAGACATTAGCAATTTATTGTTTGGTTGCAGGGGCATGGCTGTCTTCCACACAAATAGCTTCTTGCCTCCTAAATTCCATATGTTTCACCTGCCTTGTACTAAGTTAAAGGGGTTTTCTGTAGCCTAGACAAAAGGCAGGACTGAGGGTTGTGAGCACTGTTTTTCTGAGGACAGTTCATGTTCATGACTTGCTGGTTCTTGCCATCAAAGAGCTTCAGCAGAGCTTCCTGAGCCAACACCAGTGATAAAACAGCAAGCTCCTTCCTTGGCTGTAGTGGGCTCCCTTATCACAACTGTTCAACTCTACCTTCTGGTCAGCAGTGAGAAAATAATTGAGGAACATTTTGTACCAAACTCCATTACATTTCATACCAGATTGATGCAGAGTGTAACTTTTGCCCTACAAGAATCTTGGCTGTCAGGTTTACCTCCTCAATCCCTTTGCTTCACTTGTCTTCCACATCTCCTGCCTACCAGCTCACACTAGGCATCACATCTCGTGGGGAGGACCCTCATGCAAAACTTTTTATCCTGGTAATAAACATGCTCCTCAAAGCCTGTTCTTCCTTCATTCCTAATAGTGACCTTCCACATTGCCATGGTCTCATGACTGTGCTCTCAAAAGAGATCCAAAAGCAGTGAGTTAGAATGTCACAGGACACACAGAAGCACATAATGCTGTGCTGTCATTCAACTACATATCAAAGGAGCACGGTACCATGTAGCCAGGCAGTGTTTGCTGAAGTTTTTCTGGCTTACATGTGCAGTCCAAATTTCAAATGTTTCCAAGGAATTGCCTCTACAAATGCAAGACATAATAATGGAACAATAAGGATTGAAAACTGCTTGGTGGGTGCCATCAGAAACAATATAACACAAAAGCTGAATGCACAACATGGAAAGACTGCTGTCCCTGTACACTGTATTAGAAGAGTTTCTTGAAACAGGCTGAGATTTTCACTTTACCTTGTCAGCATCTGTCTGAATTTTTCCATTCTCTGGGTAGTTTCCTTTCAGTTGCAGTGTTGCTGCTAACTGTTGTACTGACTTTAGAATGTGTTCTTTGCTTATTAATATATGATATATAACAAATAATATCAGGCACTCATTGCTTTTGGATGCATTCAAGGCTCTGGCTGGGAATCTCTAAATCATGAATTTAAGTCCACATATGCGATCACCATAACTGAAAGATTTTTTACTTAGTTGTCAAAAGCAGATTGTTGAATGCTTGATTACTGTGAAAACTTCTCCAGCACCCAACAGGCCTGTGCTGCTGTGCCAGTGACCAAGCTATCAGTTTCAGTGTTTTATCAGGACAATGAAAACATGCTCAGATTACACCAGTAATGTGAGCAGCAACAGATTATTAAATCACATGGCACTAACCCAGAGACACTGATTCTAATAGCTCTTTGCTGATCTCCTAACTCTCCCTGAATGTACTCTGTACTCTAAAAGTTGCCCTATGGACAGCTTTAAATCTTACCCCATCCAATTACTGACATGGTTACAAGGAAATGTCCAGGCAGCAGTTTCATGGCTCTGAGCAGCAATAAGTACAACAGTGCAGAACTGAGTGCTGACCCAGAAATGCTGCCAACACAAAACTGTGCATGCAGTAGGACAGCCACAGCTGTGCACCAGGAGTCTGCAGGAGGATCCACCACGTCACAGGTGAGTGAGGTGGAACTGGCATCATAAGGGAGGTATTGCTGGAAGCATCTGGTGGTATTGTCACTGCACTTCCTGGAAGTTTAATTTTCAGTTCCAGAGATGAAGCTGATTTTAAAAATGAGCAAAGAAAAGCAGAGACTCACTAACATCCATTTTACAGATAAGTTTCAAGTTTTCCTATTGGTAGAGATATGTTTAGGAGAAAAAAGGAAGAAAAAAATGAGAAAAATTGTCACATATTTTCTCTTTTTCATTTATACTAAAAGCAAGTTAGAGAGGAGAAACTTTAATACAGAAACCAAAACAATAAGTTGTTTGCAGTACTACACCGTTACCCTCAGCTTAACAAATCCATCAGTTTTGTCTGACTTTGATTAGAATGGAGACTATGCAGCACCTTTTAGGACTAGGCCTTGACTGACAGCAGTTTGGGATACATTTTATTTTTTCCCCTCTGTTCTTTTTGGAATCCTTTTCTTCAGTATTAGGAGGTGAGGTAGCATAAAACAAATACTTCTCCAAAGTTCTCCAAAGTGCAAGAGAATAATAAAGCTCCACTTCCAAACTTCGTCTTATCTCTGAATCATGGAATCACAGAATCAATAAGGTTGGAAAAGACCTCCAAGGTCATTGAATCCAACCTATGACCAAACACCACCATGTCAATTAGACCCTGACACTGTCATGTCCAGTCTTTCCTTAAACACCTCCAGGGACAGGGACTCCACCACTTCCCTTGGCATTATATATGTATGCGTATATATAAATGTGTATTTTTATGTCTGTATATATATATAACATTATCATAAATAAATGCATTTAAAAAACAGGGGCTGGAAGCTCCTACAGTCTTAAAAACATGAACCTTGATGGAATTGCTCCAAATCTGCATTAGTGCAAGCAGGATGAGAAACATGCATTAATCTATTATAACTACAGCTCTGCTGGCATGAGTCTGCTCATTGTTCAGTGGGGAATCACAGGACACTGTTAATCACAGCCATGTCCATCAAGAAAATTTGCTGCAATTGTGTTTTTATGAAGTCATTCACAATAAAACAGTAGCACAAGCAGCTACTGCCTAGGAAAAAAGATAACTCTTTACACATTGTAATACCAGGGTATGGGGGAAGATCACACTGTTGGTGGAACACTGTGGGACACATTTTTAAAGCCTAGTTTTGAGTTAGTGAACTGAAGAGCTCAATATGTATCCCAGACCTGTGTAGTGGTAATACCACTCTGGGTCTGTGAGCCTGGCCAAGGAAGTACCAGAGGTGTCAGCAAGTCCCAAGACATGCTATGTGATTTAGCTATTTTTGACTCAATAATATCCACTAATCAATAATATTGCAATATGTTCTAAACTGGCTGCTTTTAATTGTTTTCCTCAACCTACATACAGAACAAAATATTGCAACTTAGTGTAAAATACTTGCAGTTTAACATCTTTCCTCTTACCTAGTGAGTATTTGAAACAAAATGGTAATAACCACACCAGTCATGGACAATCCAATACCAATATAAGAAATAGAATCCAAAGGCTTTGTATATTTATATTTTATCTGAAATGCCCAGAAAACCAATTGTATCAGAAATGAGATAAATTTCTTTTTAAAGTTTCTGGTTACACATAGAAACAAGAATGTTTTATTAAAATTATGATTATTGCTGGCCACTGCCAGAATTTTTAGATTCCACAGAATTATTCTGGACCACAAAATTAGAGAAGCTTGTGAAAAACACCAAAAAGAGATTTAACAATACCAATCAAATATTCATCAAAATAGCAGATTAAATAATTCATAATAAAATGCAAGGTGACACAGACTTCACAAAGCAGCTTTTAACTTTTCATACTGGTGAGCATTCTGAATTTTGACTTCTTGGTCTAAGGTTAGATATCACAAATAATTATAAATTGAAACCAGTCTATGTTTGCATTGTGACAATAAAGCAGCAAGTAAATGTAAATGTATTCAGTGAAACAGAAAATGCTGTTGCATTTACATAAACAGATGGGAATCTTATTTAGAATGTAGTAACTTTGTGCAAAAAGGGCATGCATAACATAAAGGGAAATACAGAAACAAGTAAACAGTACAAATATGGAAATGCTGTTCTGTGAGGACAGTAAAAAAGAACTCTGAAATGCTGGCATGCTGAAGTTAGTGACCACAGATATGTGAATTTATCCAGGGTGTGTTTTGTTTAGAGAGGCTGAAATAAATACTGAAAGAATAACAAACATCAGAAACAGGCAGTCGTTCCTAAATAGTCTTGTCAGTAAAACAGGGTAATGTATAAAACTTTATGGTTGAAAGCTTAATATTTACAGAGCAAGTGCTTTTACAAACATATAAGCAGGGAGAGTAGTTAATGCTAAATCCTCTGAGTTATTTACCCAGCACAAGGCAGTGCAACAGGATTTTAAACTTCCTTTATGTGCCTTTCTCAGTCAAGATTGCCAATGAAATTACCAATTCCTGTGAATTATTCAGATGATTAGGATTCAGTCTTCCACTGACTAAGCATTAAACAACTGCCAGCTGAATTATGTGGAAGCCAAACAACAGCTTTCAGTTTTTGGTAGTGCTGTTGCTGCTGACCAGAGCTGAATCCAGGCTGGATCAGGAAGCAAACAATGGAGTGAACCCTCCCTTCCCTCCTGCAGCACAGTGGTGCTCATGCATTCACACATCAAATGACATGCAGTCATTTTCAAACATACTTCTGCAGGGTACAGCAGCTAGAACTGCTTTTAATGACCAACAAGCAGCTTGGAGTACAAATAAGAAGTGAACACAGCCATTCATGGTATTAGGTAGTTCAGTAAAAATTTTTAATAAAAATAGGAGTAAAAAATTTTGTTTCAGTAATTTCCTTAGAAATGACACATTTCTTGGATCACTTAGCTGTATGGTTCCATGGTGATGATTACTGATCTGTCATATGTATGTGTTTGAGCTTAAAAACTTTGTTAAATATTGTAAGAAGAAGACAATTACTGTTTTCTGGAGAAACCATGCCAAATGTGAATACATATTACCTAAAAATTCAGGGTGTTTCATACTCACACTAGAGCATTGTCTGCAAGAAAGCAGTAACATCTGGAATCAGTCCCTGGTGGAGGAAATCAAAGCACACAATGGTTTTATGTGGTTTTACCTGGAAGTAGGAGTTAAAAGATAGCAATGAAATGAAAAATGAAACATTCCCCACACTGGGCTATGCCAGTCATGTTGACTTTTTCTTGTTTTCCAAAATTTTGGTAGTCTTCTGGAGAGAAAGACTGTCCTCCATAGACCTTTTTTTTTCATTCTTAATATAGTACTAATGCACCCTAGGACAAATCCACTCTGATATTCCTGTAACATTTTATGGAATACACTTTTGCTCACAAATGTCCTGGTTTAGCAGCACTGATTCAGCCATATCAGCTGTTATATAAGAAGTTGAAGAACGTTTTTTATGCCGCTTGATCTAAACACCCTTCACTTATGTCACCTATACGTCCCACAAACTCTGTCAATTGCTTATTGCCAAAAATCAAAGCAAAAATAAAAGCCCAACTCCTCTGAGCTGGAGTCTCTCTCCCTAAGTCCTGAGGAGTGTGGTAGGTCCAGGCAGCCTCTGGATCAGACTGGCACTGGGGTTCCTTACCCTGGGACTGAAGGCTATTTCAACACTACTCACTACTCCACCACCAATGTTGCCAGAGATGACTCATTTTTGTCTCCACCAGTGGAGACTCTGATAAACCCTGGCCTGGAAGAATTTGTCATTCTGATACAGGACAAATCCAGCTCTGCCACTGTCTGATGAACCTTTGCAAGGCAATGAGAAAAGTAGGTATAGGTAGCAGATATAAGAGAAGCTGGTGCTTTTGGGGAAGCCTGCACTATGCTCATGCACACATTCAGCATTTACAGATTTTTGTTTAGATTTTTTTTTACAATATATATAGGTAGTTGAGAACACCTGCTCTTCCATGAATGTCAAGAGATATCTTCAATTTTTGCTGAGGTGGAGTGTGAAAATAATTATTACCCTCCGCTTAACATCATTTCTGGGGGAAAATACTGGTAAATGAGGAAAATAATATCCTAAATCCTAATATATGCACACAGTCCACATGGACAGACTTTTAATAACTCTAAATAAGAAATAGTCACACCAGAGATATTTACTGTTAGTGCAAAGTCCGAAGATAAGAGACTTCCTGGCTTTTTGCCTTCAAATCCCACTTTTTTGGCTGCTTTTTTTTTTGCAGATTTCTACCAAATTAGAGTTCATCTATGTGATTTAAATCACTCAATTGTAGCTTAAGTGAGGAAGCAAAATCCTGGATTATATAATAGACTTTGTTATTGATGTTATGCTTTTGACTTGAGATCAAGAGAGATTGATTTGATCTCTCTGCTCTGATCATCAGGTGAGACTACTGTAACTGTATATCTACAAAATATCACAAATGTGCACTTAATATTAAAGAAATCTGTTGGGACTTTTTTAAGACAAACTGTGCATTCGATATCTATCTGTATTGAGGGGAGAGTTATGTTATGCTGGCATTATGATAAAGGTTTTAATTACGTGATCACACTGTTTTTCCACAGTACTGTTGTCTGAAACAGTGAACAGAAATGTCAGTGGCCAGTTAAAGAGTTATCCATTGAGTTTTTTTGTCAGTGCTAGGTATGTGAGGTTACTTGGTTTATCTCTTCACATCTTTTTCTAGCCCTGGTGAGAGGATTGAATTATTCATTTCCCTGTGGACTTGTATTTGAATGATGTTCACCATTATGATGTCTAAGTGCTCTCTCCCTACACTGAGAGACTGAGGACAAACAAGTCTGCTGGTTTCAGGTGCCTGGTGTGAAACTCTTGTGATGTCAGGGAAATGCATACTTGAAGCTCAGCTATCCCACACCCACCAGCTTCTGAAGCAATTGAAGCATAAGAACTATAATTTCTTTTATTTTTATTTTTTATTTTCTCCTGGTCAATACCAATTTATCCTCCAAGCACTGCAGAGTGTAAGTAATGGACCTCTGGAAAAATCCCAAATGAGTAATCCAATTTGCTTGTGTTCAGATGTGGATGTCCTGGCTGACACCTGACAGTAGTAGTAATTTTAGTTGAAATGTTTGATATCTTCAGATTTCAGGCAAAGTATGTACTTGGTCTTGATCTTGATGTTTGTAGAGTTATGGTCAAGGAGTCAACACACCCTCGATTTTAGAAAACAAAACATCTGAAAAGGTCCCAAACACCAAAAGCATTTTGGCCATTACATGTACGTTTGCATTCTTGTATAAATAAGATTATCCAGCTCATTTGACATTTGCATTTCTTGTACCAGCCATCAGCATGCATAAAAACCAGCTAAGAGTTTTTTTCCCCAAAGGAGATTTTCAGTGAATATTCATTAAAAATTTTCCCAGCTGCAATTTTCAAAAGAAGAAAGGACTTACTTATAATGTTGAACAGTATCTGAACTTCAGTACTGAGGTCACCAATAAGCCCAGGAACATTTTCCTGTATTTCTAGTTTTGTTGGCTGGTATTTTGCCAGCACTGTATCTGTGACAATTACAAGTGTATGAGTTAGGATTTATGGTTCATACTGCTGTTCATTCTGTCTAGGTAAATCCAACAACACACAGGATTTATTTCTCTGTGCCAAAACCAGAATCACAGAGGAGCTTAATTTCAGTGGAGCAGACTGGATTGCAGCATTGGGCTGTGAGATGTTACCAGTCAAAGATAATACCTCCATTACTTTCATGAGGCTGCATCAAAATAATGAGATGGGATAAAATTTACCATTATTTGTCATTATACAGCTACAGGTTCAGTTTCTGAGCTTCCTCTCTGATTGGTTCTCCAGTGGGAAGTGCTCCTCATTTCCTACCCTCATCTTCTCTCTAAAGCAGAAGAATCCAGCAATGTTCATATCCATATAAATTGGAAATTACACCAATAATTGGAGCTGAATGCCAAAAATATTTTGACTTGTTCATGAACTGCTTTCATCCTGAAACAGAAGGGAAAATGCTGTTGACTATGTCTAAAGAAAATGGCAAAAGCTAAAGTTACCTGGTTGTGGCATTGACAAGATTATTGTAGATAAATCCTGTTTTGTTGGCGTCCAAGAGCTGACTCACTGTAGCCATTACTGCCACAGATGCCTGAGACAAGCAGAAGAAAAGGGTAATATTCAAATGCAATTGAATAAATCACACCATGTGCTACACACTGAATGGGCAAAGTAAGAACACTTAACCGGCATTGCTTGAAAGTACGCAACAGAGTAAAAAAGGAAGCCATTCAAGAGAGCACAAACTTTGTGTCAATGGGTTCATAATGTCACACTTTTATTAAATTAGTAAAAACTAAATTATTAACTTAAACATTAAATGATGTTCACATTAAAATTTCAGGTACACATCTAAACAGCTGATAAATTTACACTCGGGTCTGAGAACAGACCCAACAGTGATGCCACAAGTAGCACGCTTGAGGACAGTTAAATTACTCTGCTAGATGACAAAATTTATGCCCTTGTTTGTAGTGTTATGTACAGTTAAGAGAAAGAACAGTGTCTTTTCTGCTGGTGGAGTCTTATTACAAATCTTATTTTAGTCCTAATAAGACTCACCTGAAAGTCTTCTGAAACATTTGGCTTTCTCATAATCTGCACTGTGTTGATTGCAGCAGCAGTGATGTTCTGTCTGGTCAGTCAGAGCTGAGGATTTGAGTGTTACTTGCAATAATTAGACCTTCCTGGAGCTCACAGTTTCAGCCTCTGAGGAAAATGTCATTCAACAGAAACAAAAAGAGAAAAGGAAGAAGAGTCACCACTTCATACCATTCTCACACAAAATAAAAATATATAAGTAATAAAATAAAAATATAGAAATAATCTGCTGTCTAAAATGTTTATGTTAATGTCAGGTGTGTGGAACTGCCTCAGAAAACTGCTCGTGTTTGAAGAGCGTTAAGGGGAAAAACTTTCTCCTATCTAACTGGAATTTCCCATATTGCCACTTGACTCTGTGGGCACTCATCCTAAAACTGCACACCTTGAAAAACAGCCTGGCCCCATTGTTCTCCACACCCTGCCATGAAGCAGCAGCAGGATCTCTCCTTTGTCTTGAGGTCACTGAGTTCTGAGTCTATAAACTTCTGTGCACCTTTCATTGTTCCTTAAATAACCACAACAGGATTCTTTGAAAGGCCATCAAAGGAACTTGAGAAATGTTCTGTGGAACAATCATGCCTCTCAACACAGGGCTTATAACCTGCACTGACGACATTATCCTCACTTCAGTACATTATACAGAGTGTCAGCTTGGAATAAATGTATAAAGAAAAAAAAAAATTAAAAGAAAAAATATATTCTGCTGCTGGAGGTACAAATAAGAGTTGCTATAAGCACTGGTCAGATCCAGTTTGAGTTAGCTAGCTCCAAATGAATACAGATTAAATGTCTGTAGCATCTTAAAAGTCTAAACACAAAGTTGAGGCATCTAGCTACAGATTCATAGGATATATGAAGGTTTATCTAGATAACAATAAGAGAAGAAAGTCTGCCAGTCATCAGGTCAAGTGATCTGTTTCTAAATCCTGTCAATGAATAACTCGATTGAATTGCTTCAATAACTGAATTGTTGTCAAATTATTTGTGTTGGGAAGCTACCAAAATCAAGATTAATTCTGTCATGCAGCTTTGAAGTGTTGCTAACGCTTGGAACATGGCTGGTAAGAAAAGTGAATGTGTTGCATAGGGAGGAAGGAAATTTGCATTCATAATTAGTGGAGATGATATCATTTGACTTGAAAACATCTGCATATGCATGATGGACCAACATTCTTGCTTCTGACTTCTAGCATGACCTTGGATCCTAAGTAAATATTTGTATTTAAAAGTAATCAAATCCTTTTAAACCTGGGCTCTGGATCACTAACATGAACACCTCCTGCTCCCATTCCCCAGCACCCCAAGCAGCCCTCAGCTCACTAGATGGCAGCCCGACATCACAGCTCCCAACAAACCCACACATTACTGACCACAGCAGAAAAACCGTGTGCCTCACCCTACTGGCACTAGAAATAACTACCTGTAATATTATGTATATTACCTTGAACCACTTAGTGAAGGTTATGTACTGGAAAAATGTAATATTGAGCTCAAGGCTTTCTCAGGAAAGGATCCAAGCAGGTGAAGCATTGGGTTGAAGGTACAGTAGTCAAACAAAAGTGCACAAGGAAAGGACTTCTCTTATTTAACAGGACTGTACCTGGTGTATTTTTCTTCTTTTTCCTTTTTTTCTTTTTTTTTTTTTTTTTTTTTTAATTGGGACTAGTGGTAAGGAAATGAAACACAGAAGCAGCAGAAGGGAAGCAGTCTCTATAATATGCTTTGTCATGTTCAGCTTTCCATGTTATGGACATACATGGAGGTTATAGATTTTATGGATTTTATGTATGGCATTCAATCAAGAGATCTGAATTCTTGATGGACAGAAATGTTGACAGAATGGAAAGGCTTCACTCTTAATCCTTCTGAACATGTTGGTGTCAGTATCACCCTCATGCCAGTCTCCTCCAGATCCCTTTGACATTCTCACTGATTTGGTACCCTGGGTCAGCATCACCTCCACTCAGAGGCATTGGCTGTGAACTAGGAACCTGCCTGAGGAAATTGCAGGCCAGTTAAATATGAAATGGGATGCTGTGTTCAAGCAAATTCCAGCAAAATGAAATGAACACTGTTGGAAATTCAGGCCATCTGCAAAGCAGACACATGCCAAGAATGCTACTGGAAAAGGTTTTGGTCATTTATTTTGCTTTCTTTTGCAAAGTTTTGAGAAACATGAGATATATTTCCTGCCTCAATTTTCTGTTTCCACTCCCCATTTTTTTTTCCCCAGGACATTGCAGAGTCGCAGAAACTGTTTAAGTAATACTTTAAGATTATCTGTGATGCTAAAGAGTCCAGATTTTCATTGGAATTCAGAATCTGGGGAGTCTTTAAAGTAGAATTTTTCCTTTCTCTGGAGCACATGAGGATTTCTACTGGAGCATTACCTGTAATTTTGTAAAAGCAGAAAGATATGCATTTAGTATAGAAGTTCTCACACATTCACATGACCTCACTGGGTCAGACTGTTACCTCACTGGAAGACTGTTCTGTGAGTGTGACATCCTATCCAGTGTCTTTTCTGTTTGCTTGTAAAATTTTGTCTTTCAGTGTTACAAGCGACCCTCAATTATTTAACTATTTGTTGCTCTTTTTAAAACGTGATTTACATTCATGGACACAGTCCTGTCAGAGGGGCTGACATTCTTTATGTCAAAGTCAGACAGGCTTTAGTTATGTTAGAGCTGCAGAAAAACATCTTTCAATTGGGAGGCACTGGCATCAGCTCTGAGCTGTCAGAAAGACTTTACCATGTCCTGAAAAACACAGTTTATATGTCATGAAAGAAATGCAAAGGACATGAGGACATGTCCTCTACATGGTCTCTGAGAGCTGAGTCATGGAACCACAGTTGATGGAAAGCATCCTGAATCCTAATGCTAAATAGTAGGATATAAACTGATTGCTTTTTTATTAAAAGGTTGTTCAGGACCTTGACTCTCCTCCCAGCCCCAGACAGACATGGATGCGTCTCAGCATGTGTGCTTGAAATTGTCTGCATTTGGGGTAGAAGGCTTTGCAGAAAAGTTTGTGTTCCTGCTGCCTGAGCTACAGAGTTCTGGCTTCAAGCACAAACCTCTCATCTGGTCTAATAATCTGACATCTTTCACAAACCTTACATTTGCTTTTGGGAAATGGGAGCAAAAGGAAACACATACAATTCACAGTATCAGGTGCACATTCCTTTGTGGAGGGGTCATATTTACCCACTATAATCTGTTCAAAAGTAAGGTATTTATACTGCTTTCAGAAATGTTCACAGTCTCAGTACTGTAGTCACAAAAATTAACTGCACAGAAAGCAAAAAATAATATATTTCCAGATTAAAATTATTTTTAGCATAAGGATCTGTTTTCAAAAATGAAATAGCACTGAGACAATAGAAGCTCACTGAATATTTTTTCCTAAATTAAATAAAAGCAGTTAGGTAAAGCTTATCTAAACCCAAGCTTCTAAGCTGCTACAAGTGATATTTTTTAAGTCAGTGAAGTCTTAAAAGCCCATACCTTTTGCCATCTCTTCTATTTTCACTATTTTAGTCCTAGAAATTTTGTAAAATATAAAGCATCATCTTTGGTGTCTTAATGCCCGGGCAGAAATCAGACTTGGTAACCTAATGCCACAGAATACAGCAGGGGACAAAAATACACACTTTTGAACAATTAATGGGGAACAGTCCTTTGTCTGCTGGACTGGCACAGGCTGACCACCCCAGCTGATACAGGCTGCATCTAAAGGCAGCATGTTGAGCCTGGTGAGCCCTGGCCTGAGCCAAAAGAGCAGCCTATTACATTCTCATGTACCTTACTGCTATAACTTAACACAAATTTACCTCACAAACCTGCCAACACTTAGAAAAAATATTGCAGCACACGGGCAGAAAACTTTTGCTTCGTCTTATGACTTGCAACATCCTGTTTTTGCTAACTTTTGCTAATTCAGACCACACTTCAGCTGACTATGTCCTATCAGCAGGACTGACTCAAAGCATATTTATGGTCAGGGTCCTGAGGGGGCTTAGGAAACCTGGAGCATTGTCTGTGTTCTGGCACAGGCTTTCATGTCAAGTTACTTAACTTTCTATGGATCTTGTTTTCTACAGGGTCTCAGTTTCCCATTATACAATGACATTTTCCCTCTACACAACTTACTATGAACAAATAAGGATGCATTGTGCTGCAAAGATGGGATCTGCCTTACAGCACCATACCTGAGCCTTGCTTTCCAGAAGGTGGTTAGCAGGAAAAGGTGTCAAAAATCTGGTGGAAGGAACCTCTGGAAGGCATCTAGGCCAAACAGAGGCTCCCCAAGCTCAATAGGGGACATGCTGCAGTGATGTGATATCTTTCTAAATCCAGGAATTTCTCTTCATGGTCAATCTCAGTGTCTTAAACTGCAGTTTATGACTGTCGTGTCTTGCTTTGCCCTCTGGTGCTACTGAGAAAGTTTGGGTTTGATGGCCTTTGCAACTCCCTCTCATCTGGAGGCTGCTGCTAGCCCAGCTGTCAGTGTCCTTTCCAGCACAGTGAACAAGTTCAGCTCTTCCCCTTGCTTCCTGCAAGCCACCTGTCCAAAGCCTCTCACTGACCTCACTGCATCCTGCTGAGCCCTCTCCAGTTTCCCTGAGCCTGGTTAACCTGGCTTGCAGGTGGCAAAACTAAGCTTGTACTTCCCAGTGGTGCCTCAGCAGGACCTGGGAGGGCAGGGTAAAAGTGTCCATCAACCTGTCTCCCTCCACATAACACAGCTGCTCTTCCACCTTGTTTGCAGAGAACCACACACTGTTGGCTCATGTTGAACTTGGCATCTGCTGTCACTCTGAGGTAGTTTCCAGCAGGCCAGCAAGTTCCTGCTCTGTACCAATGTCCCTGGCACGGAGATCAGCACTTATTCCTGTTGGACACCGTGAGGTTTCTGTTGGAATGATCTTCCGTTTTCTCAAGTTCTTCTGCATGAAAGCTCTGCCATTAGCAGTGTCAGCAATGCCTCTGCCCCACTCCAGGTTCACTATTGTGGGCATTCTTGCTGAGAGAACCTGCTGTGTCATGGACCAGGTGGATGAGGACACTATTATTGACCAGCAAGTTGCTCTACTTTTACAATGTCCTGATCAAGTCAGTGATCTGTACCCTTTGAGCTTGGCTGTTGAGGTGATTTTCAGCCCAGGGAGCAGCTCATTCACCCAGCCCACATGTCGTCACCTACCGAACAAGAATGCTGAGGGACGTGGTGTCGAAGGCATCTATAAATCAAAGTGTATTGCATCTTGTTACTCTTCTGTTGTCTCCATACAATTATTTCATATGGCAGACAGTCAGATTGGTCCTACATGTAAATCCATGCTGTTCCTGATGATTTTCTGCTCTCTCATATGTGTGGAAATAGACTCCAAGAGAATATGTTCCAAAATGCTTCTAGCATCTGAGGTAAGCCTGACTGGCTTATGCCTTCCCCAGATCTCCTTCTTGCCTTTCTTAAAGGTGAGCATTGTATGAACCTTTTTCCAGCTCTCTGTGGCCTCTCTTCATCACCACAGGTGACAGGAATCCCACAGGGGCATCAGCCAGGTCTTTCAGCTGTCTTGAATGAATCCTCTCTAGACCCATGGATTTAAATATCTTTGTGATGATCCTGCCTTCCCTCTGAGGGATAAAAGCCAAGAATAAGTTGCTATGAACACATATGCATTCATACAAGCTTTATTTCTTTTCTTTTTAATTATTCAAGCCTTGATCTGAAAGTGGTTTGGGTTGGTTTATACACTTATACTACTTGGTTTTGGACTTAGAAAAGAGAGTCCAACTGAAATAAAATTTTCCCACTGATGCAAATCTCAAATTATTCTAAATATTTTAATGTCGTTAGGATCGCTCCAGATTAAAACAAAATAAAAAAAACCAAAATAAAACCAAATAAAAAAGGACCCAAACAGAACAAACCACAAGAAGAAAACCAGGCCCTTTGTCATGATGTGTGAAAGAAAATAACCATGACATAATGTAGAAAAGCAATGAATTATGAGCCAAGTGGAAATTTTTTCATCGTTGTTGGAACACAAGTAAGTGGGTTACAAAAGTTGTGTACACTGTATGCCGTGCTCTCTTTTTCTGGCAATAAACCAGATCACCTCCTCCATACTCCCAGCACCTGACTGCCCTTTCTTCCAACCTCCTCAGCACATTTAGCACTGTGACCCCATGCTCTTCATGCTCCATCACGTCTCAGCCCCTCTCACCTCTTAGATCCGTCTTTATATTCTCAGCACATAAAATATACATCTCAATTTGGTTAGCTGGTGAAGAGGAGATAAATGTCATGGGTAGTTTATGCATCTTAGTGACTAGACTGGACTCACTGGCCATGTGGCCTCAACATCCTCACTGATGGCATAAGTCTCCTTTCCTTTTCCTCTTTGAGATATTTGTAGGGTTGGTCTTTGTACCCAGCTAGCGATATGTGCAAAACTCATAAGGTTTTCAGATCTTTCAGTTGTGTAACCACCTAGTAAATTTAGTTGAAACTGGACAGCAAGTTAATAAAGGTGCCAAGAAAGTGGAACAACAGACAAATGGACAGTATAAACTTTCCTCGGGAAAACAGAATAAAATTGAGGGTTTGTAATTTCAGTAATGTTTGTTATGATTTCAAGTTAGTTATGTCTGTCCAAACATTCTTACCTCATGTATTTTAACACCTATAGCTATTAAAATCTATTCTTTAAGGCAATTCACAGCAAATCAAATGCAGAACACTAGAGCAGGGAACAAAGGAAATTACAGAATCATCTTAATTCTTTGTTTCCAGTGCTGAAATCCCAGCCATGATTATTTTATTTAAGCCAATGTCTGTGAAATATTTTGCCCAAATGTTCCAATCAGTCATGAACTCATTCAATCTATCATTGTCTGTTGGATGTGCTGCCCACCCTGTCACGAGGGAAATAACATGGAGGATCTGAACTTTCCATCTACCTAGCCGTCCTCACCAAGCATATTTTCCTGGGTACACTGCAGATATTTTGACATCCTTCTCACCAAACATGTCACATCATTTGACAAAAGCACAGGTGTCACAAGATGGAGAATCTGTGTGTCACACTTGTCACATTGTGGGTTGTTGGCCTGGGAAAAAAGGAGCTGGGGATTTTACCAGCTCTGGAGGTCCTGCAGCTCGGTGAGCTGGCAGCCTCCCAGCTCAGGGCAGTGCGGAGATGCCATGTTGTGGACTGAAATGGGAGTCAACCAGGACAGTGCTATTCCAGGTGTAGGAAATTTAACTCATCCAAGACTGGTGCCAGTGGCAGCAGGAGCTGAAGGCAGGCATTGTCCTGTAGAGTGCTGAGGTGGATGGTGTCCTTAAACACAGGGCAAATCCAGACACGGCAACACTGGTGACTGAGACCTGAATCAGATTTTCAAGTCACTGTGATCTTCAAACAGGGAAATTCAAACAACAGCCAAATTGGCTAGAAACAGGCCACAGATTGTCAAAACCTGTAATGTCTTCCCCAGATGTTTTATTCCTTTGAGGTGTGTGAAAAATACGACCTCACCAAGCAAGAAGAGCCACGGCACTGCTTGCAAATCTGAGCCTGCTGAGCAGATCTCAGCAGTGGGAAAGGTCAGGGATTTCCCAAGGTGGAGGTGCCCCCAGATACGGTGGCAGCTGCCTGGCTTGTACCGAGCTATATGACAAGGAGATCCCACCCACTCCTCTGGGCACACACACAGGCTCCATCCCCAGAGCTGCCACTGTTGAGACAGAAGCACGGAAGTTCCATGGGTGCCTGTGCAAATAAAGAGTCAAGATATGTCTGTATATATATCTTCATCAGTGGGTATGTAAAATAATGTATCTATTTAATTTGATGAAAGAAACATGATATTTTTGGAATCTTGGCTAAAAAATATATGACCCATAATCTCACCCCAAAGGTCACTTACCCCTAAAACCAATGGCATGAATGTGGGGCCAAAGCTTCCAAACATGAATTTGCATTTCCAAAACAATGAAGATGGGAACAGGTTTGTGCAGATGCTGAATGAGCAGGAGTGTGGCTCTCCAGTCTACTAAAAACTCAAACTCTTAAGTCCCCTAAACACCCAAATTGCTTTTGCAGAAATTCATAGGACCAAGAAGTAAAAACAAAGCCACAGATACCCAGTGCGGAAGGGCCTGGAACAATAATAAGGACATGGGTAGTCACACATCCAAGAATCAGATAAAGATGCTATGATTTAAGATAAACATTATAGGATAAAACAGAAAAACCTCATGCCCCAAGCTCAGCCATAGCCTCTATACCCACTTCAGGACAGGTGACGGTTTTCATTCTGTCTTTTGGTAGAAATAGTGAGTTTTCTTTGAAATAGTCATTAAACTGGCTGCCACAGCTTCAGGAAATGAAAAGGCACAGTCTGAGCAATAGCAGAAAAATTTCAGATCTTAGGAATTTCTGAATATATTATGTATTTCCTGGGTATTACGATATTTTAGAGCAAGCTCTGAAAATCTTAAGTTTTTTTAAAAAAAGAGGCTGGCAAATCTCGAATGTCTTAAGGGGTATTCTGCTGCAGAAATTGCAACAAGGAAGGGGTGGGTGGACCTCAGTCTTAGAAAGAAGGATCCAAGAACTGGGGAATCTCCACAGAGCAAGGTTTCCTCACAGTCAATCTCACCAGGTCCCTAAGCGAAGGATGGAGCTGGAATCCTTTCCAGTAAGGTTCACAATGGAAATTGCACACCTATGCACGGGGTGTATGGTTTCAAATAATGCAGAAAACTGGATTTGGGGACTGCCATTTGATCTGACATTTTAATGCCTGTATTTTCAGACACTGACAGAGTAAAGATAGAACATTCAAAAGTAAACAGCACTGCCAAGAACACATGTCATTGTATATTTCTAATGTTTTCACTGAACTAAAGGGATTGCTTAACTTCTTACTCTTTAATAGGATTCATGTAACTGGAAGATTGTTTCAAACTATAAGGGCTGTGCCACGTGGCAGGGGTAATTCTGTTCTTGGCACTCTTTGCTCAGCTTTTGCTCATATTATTGCTATTTAGCACTTGTGCTTCAGCCTGTCTCATCTCCACTGCAGCCAGATGTCTCTGATGATAGTGGAATAACATCTAAGTGTAGCTAGGTAATGTCTGTTCTAGCCATCAGTTTTTCAAAACACATTGCCTCTCCATTGGAAATCTTACAGGAAGGAAATCTCCTCCAGCAACTGAGATTTGTGTGGCCCAGATTTGTGCAGCCCTTAGCAGCTGTGGAGAACATCTGGGTCTGTGGGAGCTGGGTGTCTGATCACGCAGTTGCTGCTGCACTGCCCAGCAGCAGTCTCACCAGCCCGGCACTCAGGGTGGTTCATGGGGACACGTGGCAGAGGAGTGACCCTGGGGCTCAGCCACCTGCTCTGGAATGGCAGCCTGGGAGCCCCCAGGACCCTGGGGAACCTGCAGCACGGCTACAAGGCCTTGGTCCACGGCCTTGCTTGGTGAGCACAAACCCAAAGCAGCCAAGCCAGGCAGGGCTGCTGGGTCACCTGGCATCATGGATGCCAAAACCAGGGAGGGAGCAGGGCTGCACTGCAAATGCCTGGACCATGGGCTGCCTGCTGAGGAGCAGTGTCTGGAGCTGCTTCTGCAGCCAGCTGGGGCAATGCTGGTCACGGTCTGCAAAGGAGTGCAAGGAGAGAGAAAGGTGAAAAAGACTGGGCTGACACTCCTTTGGAAGTAACAAAGGAACAAAGCAGTGGGGTAAAAAGTTCAGTATTTCCCCTGGAGGTGCAGACAGAGCTGCCATGAAGCCCTTGCAGCAAAGGCGAGGTGACAGCAAAGGGCATCAGCCTTACCTTTGCATTCCCTGAAAGAGCTCCTCTTTAACAGTGTGACACTCACAGAACCTGTTAATGCTGTGCCTCTATTTAGATCTTCCTGGTAACTCTTCTTAGCCTTCCATTCAAGGTCTCATGAAGCTTTTTTTGTTTCAGAGGGAAACCTGTCTTTCACAAATGCAAATTCCTGAGCTGACCTATGCAGTCACACCTACTGCACATGTGGTAACTCACCAGGCTGCAGTTATTATTGTGCAGGCTTAAAGTCATGGGCTTCTTCTGGTTTTATTTAAGATTCAGAAAACATCTTCTTTGCCTTTTAAGTTTTACAGGCATTAATCGTGTCAAGAATCCCACTGATTTTTGACTGTATATTTTTCTAAACTAAAACTATTCTATTCTTATGTAATACCGTGTCACCATGAACTGCTGAGCATGTTTTAATCAAGCACCATGGGAACTGTTGATGTTAATACTTGTGACTGAAGTCTGAATACAGAAGAAACTCTACCACTATGCACAGCAAGCAATGCACATGGGCACGGAGGCATTTTCTATCCCTGAAGTCGCTGCAGTTTAAATGTCTTTCTTAGCAGCTCATTTGCCTGAAGATCTGTGGGGCACAAGCAGAGGTATCCCTGCACTGCATTGAGACTCAACTCTCATTTCATCTGGGTTTGGCTCCATCAAGTCAAACAAAGGTCTGAGCATATTCTGATATTAGCCAAGGCAGTTTATTACTGACATATGTTAAGCAATCACTGTTTACTTTTGTGTCCTTTCTTGGGCTCAATCCCTACAAACATCTGATAAATCTCTTAAAGTAACTGTAACCTAATGAATCCTTGTATAAACTTTTCTTCAGGCTTCTTTGTCTTAAATCATGTCTGACTCTCTACTGACAAGCAGGCAGGATTACTTGATTCTTTCAATGAATTTTGAATATAGATCTGTGCATAGTTTTGTGTCACATCAATATAGTGAGTATTTTGCTGACAGGAAACACTAACCATCTTTCTGCTCCAAGTCTGCACACAGAAATGTTTTACAAGAGTACATTGACCTGATTTTCAGATATAGAAAATGTAAGTCTCTGATATGCTTTCAATAAATATTTCTGCAATGCAAGTTGCAATGAAAACATGAACAGGTGATATATGATGCATGCAAACATACAAGCATCAACAAAGTAATTATTTCCTTTTTAAAATAAAATTTACTAGACTAGTTAGAGGTTTATTTTTCTCTTTTGAAAATAAATCAAATTTCTACCAAAAGGGTGAGAAAATGTCAATACATTTCTCAAAGTTTTATCAAAGGAATCATGAGCAGGGTACATGTGTTCCAATGAAAACACTCCAGAGATTGCTTGTCATCCTATTCTGTTTTACAGCAGCATTCAAAGTTTGGGGTAGTTCTTTAAACATTGCTCTAAGAAGGAAAATATTTCCGTCTGAGAAGCGTGCAACATGGATATAATAATGTTTGTCAGCTGTCATGCATAAATATTTAAGGAAAGAGAAAAGAGCCCAAGTGGTTCAAATGGGGTAGAATATTTTATTACCTGCTTTGAACCTGAGGAGCTGCCAAATGTACAGAGCCCAAAGGGCCACAGTCACTACACAACAGGTGACTCCAACCAAAATTCTGTCCCAGTGGGGTGAAGGCATATTGTAGTGCAGGCTGTCTGCAATGCTATAAAATGGTTATTATACAATCATACTCTTGTCATAAGCCATTAACTACTTGTCTACTGATAAAGCTTTAACCTTCCATTCTAAAGAAAGAGTTTTGGCACATGTGTGTTTATTACCTCTTGGGAACTGACTGGTCCTCAGTGTACATCTGCACGTATCCTGGGTGGGGCAGTGCTGGCTGGCACAGGGTGAAAGTCAACACAGTCAAAGGGAAGAGGAAAATAAGAGTTATTTTAAGAATGAGTTGGAATAGACATGTCTTTTTTGTCATCAGCATTCAATAGATTCATTCCCATTGTGTAAGTAGGGACAGTACCTTGTTTTCACATGGTGTTTTCACTAGTGAGGAAAGGAGATTTGTTTGGCTTTTTTAGTAACCAAAGCAATTCCATCACAGTTTTAAAAAAACAGGACTCAAGAAGCTGATGTGATGTGTCAAGGATGTACAAAACACAGCCTAAAAAAGGGTTCTGGTCTCTTGGGATGTGGCACAATAGTCTAGCCATCAGATACTACTGCTACTGCTACTACTCCAGTAGTACTTTCTTTAATGCCTTACTGATTGTTACAATGTTCTTCCTCTTATCAAGAATAAAGATGAGTATGATATAAGACATGCATTTATTATTTTAATTTAATTGGTGGCAATCTGAAAAGTGCTCATAATGATACTCATATTCAAAATATTCATACTGAAAATAAAAAATATGTCAGGTGACCAAGATACTCTGTATTGAAGAAAACTCCTAAGGACATAGGAAAGGCTATGGAATATAATATAGAATTAATTATTAATTTAATATAATTAAATATAATTTAAATATATTTTAATATAATAAATTTATTAATATAAAATTTTTATAATAGAATAGAATAGAATAGAATAGGATAGAATAGAATAGAATATAGATTACTTTTACAAAATGGGAGCACCAAAATTGTTAACGTGCTTCTTCAGATAGCCAAATGTCTTAGTAGTCTGCTCGCAGAGGTTTTAGTTAAAGACAGGCTGTGCCACCACACTGGCGACAGGCTGGTACAAACCTTTAGGAGGGACAGGGCTGCATGCTGTCCCTCTGAGCTCAGCTCTGTCCAGCCAGGGGGGTCTGCCTGTCTGTCTGTGGTAGCCCTGTCGTTACAAGCATGTTTCTTGTCCTGGATCTTTCCTCTCTCCGCCTTGTTCTCACTAGCATGGGCAGCAGGAAAGGGAAAGCATCCCGAGTGCCGGGATGGGGCAGGGACCCGAGGAGGGCGCAGGGGCCGCGGCGCTCAGGGGATGGCTGCGGGTCCGAGGATGGAGGAAACAGCGCCCAGGGGCCACCGGAGCCCTGTCACTCCCCGAGAAACCAAACCGCAGCTTCCCCCGAGGGGATTGCCAGGGAATGGGAGGCTTCAGCAGAGCGGGGCAGACGCGGGGCTCCGTGGGGCAGGACGCCGTGGTGGAGGCTGGGGACACATCCAGCTCCCGGGCATCCCCCGGGCTCGGAAGGATTTGCGGGGCTGGCCAGCGCTCACACTGCTGTCAAAGTGTGAGCAGCAGCAATGCTCAGCTGGACAGAAACATCTCCTCCTCATCCTGCTCACAGAGAATGCTTCGGACCCTGGAAATGTTTATTACTTTACAGCCTCCTGCCGTCAGCAATTAAATGTTTGCTTTTCTGCTGTTTAAAGGGGTAAGAATGTAAAACCGGATCTAAGAGGTGCACAGGAAGGTGCTCATTCCTGAGCAGGATTCAGGACTCTTACACACAAAACAGAACCGAAAAACAGATCCAATTAGGATCTTAAAGATGGGGAAACTGAGGCACAGAACAGTTCAGTGACATTAAGTTAAGCTCCATCCAGCTTTGCTAAGCTGAGGTTTGTGGTGTATTAAAAGCATACCCAGCTTCTGAATCAAAGGTCTGAGTCCTTTGCTAATAGAAATGCTGCTAGATGACTGCATATTTTTTAAAATGACAAAATAGGAAAGAAATAGTAATTCATTCTCATGGTTAATTACACTGCCCCTCCTATTCAATGGAAAAAGCATCCCTGCTTCTTTCCTTGACATGGGTAACATCATCATGGACATCTTTGACTAGAATGTTGAGTTTAGATATATGAAACACTAAGAGTCCAAAACTTTGGGTTGCAAGCCCAGCTTTGCAAATGGAAGACAGTTTGTCTGCTGGGAAGTTGCAGTAGCACTGTGAGCAAAACTGATTGTGAATTTCTAACTTCACATGAACACTTTATATAAAACACAGAGAAAAAAATTACCTAAGGCACCAGATGACAAAACCAACACAAATGAACAAACACCTCTTAAAAGATAGTATACTTTAATTTATGAAAATATTAAACCATGTTTGTATGATCGAATAGTCAAACTGAAAGGGAACCTTAACACTTGCAAATTTATATCTGTGATGCAGCTGCAGGGAGATAAAATCGCTCTTGAGTGACTGGCTATGTTTCTTCTTTCCTCCATTTCTCTTAAGCCTTAATTAGAGCCAGATATTTCTTATTTCCTTTCTTTTTTGTGTTCAAGTGTGCACAAAGTGTGGTGCCAGCAGTAAACACCATCTTTGACTTTTTTTTATGTATCAACTGCATCTGAGTCGAGTCACAAACCAGTAAAATTCCAGGAAAGCAGTGCAAGCTTTCACTCCTACTGTCATTCCTGCTGGAAGCAGGGGATGGGCACTGAGTGAGACATACTGTTTCCTGTGGCACAGGAGTCATAAAAATCCCAGCATGTGTCTGAGAACCTTGCTGCTGTATACCATGGACACAGCTGCCCCTCCCGTGCTCTTCAGAGAGCTGGGAGTGATTTCTTGATGCTTGATTGCTATTCAGCTGTATGGATCTGCAGCTTGCTTCCCATTTCTTCCTGCTCCTCCTCAGGGAGGCAGTGGATGGTAACCACAGCTTGTAGGCAAAACCATTTCTGCTCCAATTTCATGCCTTTATTGTGCCCTTACATTGACCTCTTAGGTGCCATCTCTGGCAGAGTGTTTTGTCAGAAAATGGCAGAAGTCTATAGGTGAGAGCTTCCTTTCTAAACTAAATTGCTAAGTAGCATTGCTGTAGTATTTATAATTACAGTTTTCATCTACTTTTCTAAACGTATTTTCATTCTAAGAAGTGTATCAAATATAGTAATCCATGAACTGCAACACTTACCTAGCAAAGAGATAGAAATTAGTGTTCAAAAAGTCATCTGAGGACAAGTTATTCCTTATTTGACAAATATCAGGCTTTTTACTCCCACATATTTTGAGCAAGCACATATTGCACCTAGAATAGATTTTAAGGACAAATTTCCCGGTAGTTTTCCAGTTGTCTTTCTCCCTTTTAACAGATGTGCTCTTTGTTGCTTAGTCCTTGGGAGCCTGACTCCCTTCCACTACTGCACATGCTGAAGGCCTTTTTGGATAAAAATCTATTCTGTTTTCTTCCACCAACTTCTGTACCAGCAACTCCTACCCCAACTGCTGTAGTTTGGAGGAACTGCAACTTTTTCTGGGAGGGCATTAAGGTACCTGATCCACTGAAGTTTTTTAGTGCCTAAGTTTTAAGGATGAGGGAACCTGGAGGATTCAAATTCCTTGCTGTCATATATGCTCTTCGTGCTGTGTTAGGTTACAAGGCAAAAAAGTATTTGTTTACAGAATACAAAACAAACTTCACAGTTTCTAATGACAAGGTAGTATGACCTTTCTTGAATTGAAGTGCAACTTGTTCATATGTTTGGATGTGTTATGAGAGTAGCCTGTATATCCCACCCCATCCTGTCCCATAAATGGTTATATTTTTTCCCCTGAAAACATGACAGACATCTATTATTCAGACAGAATGAATCTATTTTATTTAAATAAAATTACAGGTATATTTTGTCTAGTAAAAACTACCATAGTTTTTCAAAGGCACCAATATTTAAAAAATAATTTAAATTTTCTTGAAAGCAGCTTTCTTTTTCTGAGTGGTGTTTGTAAACTTGTCGGACTTCCCTCATCCAACTCAGGCAATACCTGTCGCTTGTGAAATTATGAAGGCTGTATCTTTTTCATTGTAGTAGGTGCCCTACTGTTCCTGGGCATCTCTTTTGAACACAGGAGAATGGGACAGACGTTCCAAGTAGCAAAACCCCACTCTGAAATAAGGTGTTTCTTTCCTTTGTGGCACCATAAATTTGTCAGGCACAAATCCCAGCCACAACACTTTTCTTGTACTGTAAGTATTAAAAATTAAATTCAGAAGACTACTGTTTCTTTGAGACTTCAGGATCTATTTTTTCCTTGCATTTTCTCCAAGGCTGATAATATAATGGCACATTTTCTAATGAGAGGAGAGAGCCTTTTTCACAAAGCCTGCTCTCCAATTCTGTGTCACAGAATACGTCAGCCTCCAGTTTGGGCTTCTTTAGAGGTGTTTTTGCTAAGCTGGGTGAACTAAAACCAGCAGACATGTGTTGGGCTTATTCTGTAACCATTTACAGGAGGTTCACAGCAGGGACACAGAGGGAGGTGCAGGTGACACCTCTCAGCAGGCCAAATCCTGCTCAGTTTTTCTCCAAAGACCCAGCTCTACATCCACTGCTGGATGAGGGTAAGGATGCAGCCAGCGTGCCCAGGCTCCTCCCCAGGGGAGGAACGGTGTCAGGCAGACATTCTCTGGCCAATGAGTCCAAATACTGTCACTTTTTGCTTCTGTAAAAGCAGGGAACTGTTTTCAAAATGAGATTTCGCTAAACACCTTCCATGTGCACAGCTCACCCATTCATCAGCTGATTTTGGTTTATTACCACAGACTCTTGTAATAATCCCCAAATTCTCTAGGATGCACAACCACGATCTTCTCTGCCCAACACTACAGAAACTTTGTGGCTCAAGCATTCTAACAGGCAAAAAGATCTGCCCTTTAAAAAAAATCCCCACAATTTAGAGACAGCAGTGATGCGGTGCAGCGAGGGTAAGATCATAACAGGGATACATTTGGCAAATGTATCCCTGCTGCAATTAACTGGCAAGATCCTCAGGGAAGCCATGGATCTTCCTGCCACAGAAAATCTGATTTTAATGGAACCACAGTAATCAAACTCAAGTCTTAGATTTGCAGAGTGGAGTAAATACAGTTATTTCATTCTGTAGAAAGACCACTGTAAAGCTGAGACACAGAGCTACAGACAAACCATACCAATACCAGAATATCCAAAAACAGGCTTTGCTAAAGCTTGCCAAAATCTCCAAGAGCCTTCAGAGAAAGGCATTGAAAAAGGGCTGCTAAGAAAAGCAGTGATCTTTGGCTAGCAATGTGCAATTTCCTCTTTGACATTTGTAAATGTAGAAATGTACGTGAGCCAACTGCTCTTGCTTTCCAAAGACGATTCATCTGGATAATCTGACACCTGGTCACAGGTGTTACTTCACAATACTTGGCAAACTTCTAAAATAATTTAAAAAATTAACAACTGAAGTCTTCTAAGAAGACATACAAAAGCTCAGACAGTTTATTGTGCTTTCCATCCTGCTTAAGTTATCCCTTTAGTTTAGAGATACAGCACCTTAACATTTGCACAGCATCAAATGTATTTATCAAGAAAAGCAGTGAAGAAATTTGCATTGTTCCTGCCTGTGAGAAGCAAAGTACTTTCTGTTTATTCCTTCAGAACAAACATCATCACTGATTTTGGAAAGGCACTGACTAAACTGACAGACTAAAATACAGCATTAACAGCTAAGAAAGGTGCTCCTTGAAAAAGGGGATATAAAAGGTAGATCTTAAAAGTGAAGTAAATATTTATGTTGCATTGAAGGTAAAGTAGTTTTAGAAAAAGCCTGAAAGGATTTAGGTGCATCTTGGGATCCCTTTGAGGTACTAACTATTTTATTAGCTAGCTTTTTTAATCAATCAGTTTGCTGTCATTGGCCATGAACACTGTGCTTTCCACTAGATCAGTTTTCATGGAGAAAATAAATGCAATTAAAAGTGGTGCTATTTTTTAATTCCCTCACTGGTGTTGGTAGCTAGGTATGGAGCTACTGAGAAGGCAACATCTGCCCTCCCACAGCTCACTGTGCAGCACTGTCAGGCTGCCTGGTGACTGAGGGGGTGACACAGGGAAAGGGATGCAAAACCCTCTCATCCTGCCCACAGAGCAGAATTACCCACTCCTGACTCAGATGGTGGGTCACATGTCTGCTCTGAGTCCTGCAGAAAACCATCAAATTCCATCAAAGGAAAGAAAATAACACTGGGAAACAAGCTGGTTTTGCAGTTAGGTGCTGCTTGACTGGACATCCCTCAGCCTTTCTGGAAAAGAAATTGTTCCAGGCACCAAGGGAAGGCAGAGCCACTTCCAGGGCCTTGCAAAGTCAAAGGACAGCAAAGAGACAGGACTGTCTAGGCACAAGCATGAACAACATGAAACACTGTTTTTTGATCACATTACACATCTTTGGTCCTCCTGGCAGGCTTGGTGGTGTCTCTGGGGGGTGGTGAACACACTACAAACTCTTCAGTGAACACTCAATGTGTTCACAGTGAGAAGTTCTTTCTGTTTAACATAAAGCCACACAAACAGAGACACAAAGTTGTTACACAAGACAAGACTGTGGTTTCTTTATCTTGTTCTGCTGTTTTCCGAGTCTGCACGGTTGTTTATCCACAGGTACTTGCAGGACAACCAATATGCATACCTAGACACCCTAATTATGGAAACTTTATGTCCAGCAGTGGCTGAAAAGAATTTTGCTTAGCTTTTAATGAGGTAAACATACAGACTTCATTGTGCCACCTCATCCACGCCAAGTCTGTCTAATACTAGTCTGATTTTCTGTGAAGCATGTGAGAAGCAAGGTATTAGTGCAACCAGCATAAACCCATATCAAGCTTACCCTTCACAAAAAAAAAATATGTTTATAACTGTGTATTAGATGTTGACATCATAGGGGATTGATATTTGTGCAGCAAGTTGTAGTAAAGAATTAATAAGATGGCAAAAAAATATGTAGAAATGAGGTATCAATTAGCCTAATGGTTGGAGTAGATGAACTGGTCAAGCTATATTCATGCTAAATTTCTTCTTCTGACTCGTGATCTCGTTCAGATGTTTTCAGTAAACCCATCTCCATGGACTGGGACTGCTTAACCTTCGAACGGACTGCCCTGGAAACAACAACAGAAAAGCTGTCAATAGTAACTCAAAGGCTCGTCTGACCATTTTTCACACAGTAAAACCCTGTTAAATGCTTCATCACTGGTATCACTTCATCACTGGGTATTTCATCACTGAGTAAGGATGACTCTTTCCATGATTCTGTGGTTAGGAAGTGCTGCCTTTACTGATTGTACTTGTTGTACATCCTGTACAACAAGGATGTTGTCTTGGACAGGTAAGCACTAGCTCCTATGGACATATCACAGAGCACTTTAAACGAACCTCAGTGAACCCTCCAGAAGGTTCAGTGCTGTGCAGGCGTTGTGTTCTCTTGGGAAGAGACCATAAAGCTGTGGGAAAGAGAGAGTCTGGCCAAGCTACCCTCAGAGGGGAGCTCTGCCAGAGAGCCATCATCACCCTCCTCTGGTGCTGCAGCAGCCGCTGGTCCCAGCATCAGAAGGGTCTTGAGATTTCTGGCACAACCAAGAGCTTCCCTCCTTTATACCCCAAACCAGTCACCCAGCCTGGAGTGCTGGTGCCTTTCAGACTGAGATACAAAAAGAACTGACACCTCAGTGCAAATCAAGACTGGAAGAACTATGTATTTAACATGATTAAATAGGGCTATTAGGATGGTGGGGATAAAGCAAGGGGTGAGAAGTAGGTTTAGGACGCTGCAGGAAAAGGTAAGGTCCAGGTCCTGTGGACAGAAGGTGATCACATTCTGTGATCTGATGGCAGAGGCATTTTTAAAGCCAAATTAACACTGCAGTTGGAATTTTGTCAGAATTAGCACTGGGCAGAGAGGAAGAGGGCTACCTTTAGACATTAGGGGGTGAAAATTACTAGTGAAAAAGAAATCAGGTTTCATCACAGGAAATTTCTAGCAAGGAATTCTGTGTAATAATCTTCAAAGTCATGAAGCCTTCTCACTAAGCCACTTAAAATTAGCAGAGATGAGCAGTGGGAGACAAGGTTCTGCAGGTGAAAAGAAAAAGAACCTCCTACTTCTGACTTTATATGTACTTACAAATGTGGAATACTACTGGAGCTTCTTTTATGTGAGAAGTGTTATGCTGTCAGAGCTGTATTTATGGGTGTGTTTTTTCCCCTTTCTACTGAAGCAATATCATGTGCTTTTCACTGATTACTAATAACCATTTTTATTGTACCTTCCAAGACAATTAATTACTTCATAGAAACCTTTTCATTTGCCAGTGAAACTTTTCTAAAATAAAGCTCCTTCTAGACTAAATAGACAAGTTACCAAAGTTTTAGTATTTCAAGTAACTTACCAGCTGACAATTGTGTAATTCACTGCAAGTATTAGAAAAGCAAAGGCATAATGCCAGCAATAGCACATAGTCAGGAACATCATGTTAGTGTGATCCATCTGATTCCACTCTGGGCTCCCATTTGGAGGATAAAGAACAAAGCCAATCTGTAGTAAAATAAAAGAGATTTAGTACATGTCATTTGATGAGCATCCTATGCCATATCATGTTTTATGCTACCCATCACCAGGCAAATATTTAATTTTCTTACGGTGTTGCTTATTTCTGTGTTTACTGTTGGAAACAATATTGTAGTCAATCTCAGGTGTGATGGATCACTTTAAACACCTCTGTGCAGAAATGCTTTTGAAGATAAAGTGCCAGTCCCAGCGACCCACTGTTCTTGTCCAGAAAATTAAGGAGCCTGCCCAACAGCCCTGCCCTGCAACAATCAGAATTATGCACTGTAAGGAGAGGGCTGGTGCTCAGCCCTGTGTGCTCAGAACTGAAATCACCTCATGGATCAGAAAACCTGCCTGGCCACTTGCACTGCCTCCCTTCTTCCCAGCAGTGTCTGGGAATGTGTTACATGGCTGGGAAGATGAATAATCATTGAACAAATAAAGGGGAGCCACAAGTCTATTTCTTCTGGGACATACAAGAGAAAGGTCAGAAATGGCATAAAAATGGAGCTTCCTCATGCAAGATTGTAAATTCATGTGAAATACACAGCTGGTTTTTATTCAAAGCTGGGAAAGATCATATTTGTGCATAAAATGGGAAAATGGTTAGTCCTGTGGGTTTGCATGACAAACACCAGCCCTCTCTACTGCTTAGAACTCTTCAAAGTCGTCACTGAGCAATTTAGCTGAGAATTTAGAAACTGGAAGAGGAGAGGAAGAAGGAGGGGAGTGCATTTTGCATTTCCATGCAGAGAATTCAATGAATGAGGGTGTTGATGATGCAGAAAGAAAGTCCCTTTACATTTCACAAATTTCCTGTGCTGCAGCCAGTGTGTGGTTTTCAGTCACACAGATGGTTGAATTCTGATGCGGGTGTGAAAAAAAAACACACTTAAATTTCTTCTATTTTTAGTACTTCAATTTTTACTTTGAAACAAAACCCACATTGTCTCTAGAGCTAAAGAAATAATCTGCTCTAAAATTAGACTAGGCAGAAAACAATGAATCAATGGTTGCATCTATTCCTCCTATGCAAAGTTTCTTAAATCACCAGCTGAAAGTTTGCAAACAAGAAAATAAACCAGCAAGTGCTTCAGCACCACATTCTTGAGTTCACTTATAGAAAAATACAGACAGTTCTGAGGTCTGTCTTCATGCCAGAGCAAGCATTTAAATATTTGAATTGGTGCTGGGTGTCCAGCTCTCCTAAGAAACAGCAAACATTTCTATTCATCGTGTCTGGCCAACATAGAAAAAAGGGAAGCCAGTCTAGACATGCCGGAAAGAAAAATCATCGGAGTGACCTCAATTCTCCACTATAAGATGAAACACATCAGCATCAGTGCTCCTACTTCTGTTACAGACTCCCAGCAACTCCTTAAATCTCTCTCTCTTGTTCTGACAGCAAAGAGTGGCCGTCAAATATCTGTTATTGGATAGACTCAACAAGTAAGCGAGGGCATGGAAGCTACATTTTGAAGAGTCCTTTCAGGAGCCACATCCCTGAAATATCAAAGTTTTGGCTGTTCTTTTTTCTGCTCAGCTCCCAGAGCACTAGAAAAGCAGGAGGCTTTACATCACCCAGTCTCCTAATGAGACTCTGTAACTTAAGTACCTTTTGAATCTGGCCATGGCAATGAGGCCTTTGCCTCACCTGTCCACTACTACACTGGGCATTACTCACTGCTCCAGCAGCTGACAGTGCAGACTCTCTTTGTAAAGAACAACATATATTTCCATGCTCTAAAATCACTGCCATTTGGTTGGCAAATTTGGAACAAGATGTTACAGGGATCAGAGAGCTCTGTAACATGAAGAGCTCAAGAAAAACTCTTTAGCTTCTTTATTGATTCAAATTAAAGGCACTTGAAGTAAAACAGCTGATGCTTCTTCTGTAAAATGGATATGAGAAATACTTCTATCTCTTCAAAGGAATATTTTTTCTGTATCTCTTTGAAGGAACTTATTTTCTGTACGTCTTTTGAGGTCTGTGTTTAAGAGTTTTATATATAACCTGTGAAAAATCTGCAAAGGGTTAAATGACTAACTTTGGTGAGGAAGAAATTACAAAGGCAGAAAAGTGACCTACCTGCCAGAACCAGCTGCCTTGTAATAAGCAGAGGCTAGTACGGAGCATCTCTAGCACAATACTGCCACGGAAAAAAACTTCCAAAAATATGCAGGCAGCAGCTCCAAAGATAGCAAATAGCAGTAACTGATGAACATGAACATCCAGCATGGCTCTCCCATGAAGATGGTAGCAGAAAAGAAAACCTGGAATAAATCGTGATCATTTTTAGATAATTTCTTCCCTTGCAATTTCCCTGCATCTGATTTTAGAAAACAGTGAAACGTTTCTGGCATTCATCTTTATGCCAGTGTTACCTTCACTCATGCTGGCTTTAGCTAACTAGTTGTGTACCATGTCAGTACCTACGTCAAACACATGCCTGAGCTACTGAGCACTTACCCAAAACAGGCTCTTGATACTATTTTCATAACATTTCAGTTGCTGCTTGAGCCAGGTGGGAAAGCTAAGATACACCTCTACAACGCTGGATGATGACCTGGGCAGTGTAAGGAGAGCCAAGACTGATCTTCTTGTGATCTCCTTGAAGAGTTTCGGGGGGTGAAACGCCCAGGACCCAGAAATCATTCTGTTAGGCTGATTTGAGATTCCCAGTGATCAATACCCATGCACAGGATTCATGCACATCCCTTCAGGGAGAGGTAAACTGACCTTCAATAAAGACTGCTAAGGAAAGCATCATCCTGTCCGTGGCTGCTGGCAGCGCGTTGGTCCCATGTGCCACGATGTCCACCAGCCCTGAAATGCCATAGAAGAGGTACATGGTGGCATGCTGCCAGTTCATCAAGTGATCCCAGTGCTTCTTCTCGTAGTTGTACAGCTTCAGATGAGGTCCATCAGGAACAAACTGCTCAGCCACCATCCCTGCACATGGAACAAGAAGAAAAACCATTTGTTCTGGTACTTAAGGTACAAACTGATGACAAATCTTTACACAAACCATAGAGGCAGCAATATATCCTTGTGCAGAATAATGCCAGTGAGTTTGAGGTTTTAGCATCACATAACCTGGAGAGTGGAGAGCCAGAGGAAATCAGGCTTCAGCTCCACTCCTGGTGGAACTATTTACATCTTGCAGTTTCCAGCAGTGAAAACGAAAACAGTTATTCTGTGCTGCTTTTTCTTCTTTTAAACTATTGCTATTGTAGTAGTCCTCTGACTAAATTTTTCAGCTGCCTTTTCCAATGGTTCAAACATGAGCACAACACACTCTAAAGTCTCCAAAAGAAAGATTGACCATTTCAGTGCCCTGCTACATGCAGGACGACAGAGTTCAGGCTCATGATTTGAAGGGGATTTTTCCTCTAAAGCCATAAAAGGAAACCCCTCCACTGTGCAGAGTTATTAAAACTCCTGTGGGCATGTATATGGGGTTAGTATTTGAATCACTGCTCCACTCTCTCCCTTACCTTGGCCCCTCGGTGTCTTGCTAACTGAGGTACTCCAGCAAGGAAAAAATGCTTTTAAAAGCTTTATATGATCAATGATGTTTGGGGACGGTTTAAAAGTTTTTCTGCTTTTAAAACATTAAAGCTGATTATATTGTTGATAAAGCATAGGCCAGCATCCTGCTGTATAGTAGATATGCTGTAGAACAAATGCAGTGTTGTTCCATCTTTATTTTCAGTTTTCCTAACATGAAAACAGCAGGTTTTACTCCTGATGCCTTTACTGTCTGTCTTAGCCAAGTGTTTCTCCCATACTTTTGATTGGAATTGGAATTCCCACATGTTAAAATAATAGTTTGTGGTTTCGAAGTGAAAATAAAAACAGTAGATTAATGTTTTAGCTGACAAACTACCTCTAGACACAGACTGGGAGATTTGTAGGAAAGATGTCCACAGTCACACCTCAAAATGAATGCTATTATTTAGATTTTTATCATTTTTTAATGATAAAACTGTAGACACAACATCCCTTCAGCACTGATGTATCATAACAGAGAGGAAGAAAAAGCAAGAGCAAGACTTTGTCACAGCCTGTACCTTGATTAGAAATGAGGCAACTCGGGGCATCTAAAGAAGAGCAGACAAATAGAATGTAGAAGTGCAAAAATGCTTAAAATTTAGATATTTTTTCAACTTGAGCCACAGGTGCTGAGCTCCTCAGATCCCCTGCTGTTTAGTTTAACTGCACTCTAAAGCTAAATCACTGCCATACAGTCTGCCAGAATGTAAACAAGACCTAAACACTTCCAGTCAGCTACACAGCTCTCAATCTGTCCCACTGGGTTTGTTCCCAGGCCTGGACACAGCAGAAGGACAAACAGCTCCCCCACACCCCATCACAACAGTCCTGCAGCAATAAGATCTGGAGTTCAGTCTTTTTGTGTGAATATTTTCACTTTTGACAGATTAATCAAAAAAATCATCTGCATCATTTGCATATTTTATCAATAAATCAGTGGAGGCTTCCAGCATCCGAGGTGGTTGAATTCAAAATAGAAAAGCAAAATCTTCACAGTCTGGTGCTCCCAGCATGCACATGAGAGCCCCTTGCCTAAATATCTTACCTCCCTCCCTGAACAGTGAACAGTACATGAGCACTGAGATGTGCTCAGGAGTGGTCAAGTGGTCAAGAGTGGTCAGGAGACCTCACAGAAGCTCCAGAAGACCGCTGTGGATGGAAACCATATTATGGCCACAGCTGTGTAATTAACAGCAGGATTCTCACCACTTCTCTGTGGTTAAAGGGGAAAAGAGCAGAACACAAGGAGATCCATTTGATCAGAAAACAAAATTCAAAGCAAGAAGTGTTAGAAGTCCAGCCTGCCCTTAGTCCACCTCACTTACCAATGAGGGCAAAGACAGCTTTGATGATGCCCTCAACAAACTCCAGGCGCTGGAATCCTGCCCTGGAACCAAGGTAGCAAGCATTCTTGTTTTTTCGACAGGCGTACTTCAGTGGGTACTTCACTGACCACCATAAGCCAAAAAGAAGGAAAAAGCTTCCAGGGAGGGCATGCCCTTTGAAATTGCCCATGGTTTCCTGCTAGGCAATACCTGAAGGAGAAGCAAACAGAGACTGATTATTAGAACAGTGGGAGAATTCTGTGGGTTGTAATTTCAAAGTATCTCCTTGGACAGATCAAATGGGTGTCACTGAACTGGGTACTCACAGTTAATTTAAAAATAAATTTGGGTACTTATCTTCCCAGCCAGTCTCCCCAGTTTCACAGCTTTGCAGAAGCAGAAGCAGAGACCCAACTGCAGAGCAGCTGACCTGAAATGCAGAGCTGGCAGTCAGCAGGGTAGAAGGAGAAGCCATAGCACACTACGTCTTGCTGTAGAAGTTGTGACAGCAAAAGAGAGAACTTGCTATGTTATAATAGAATACAATACCTGACTGAAGGAAAAATTAATTGCATACCCATCAAATGGGTAAATATTCACTAGTAAAGTGTATTTTTTATTTCAATCCTGATGTCTTGTTATGATTTACAAATATCAAGTAATTCTCATTATTTGATTGGTGAATTATGCACCCACAACTAGATATTTATTATCAAGTACATCAAATGCACTGTGTGACAAGGTCATTAGTTGGTCAGGATTATTCAGTCATTTAAAAGCAGTGCCATTCATAATCCTAGTAGTTCTGTTTATCATCCCATCATTTAGGATAGCTGCCTTTGAGCCAGTGGCTTCTTCATTAAAATGACAGTTCTAACATTAAATTGCAATTTTTCTTTAAGGTATTATAAATTGAGTTGTGGTGCCTCATGCCCCAAAGGCATACTGAGTTGAGTCTCTGCACAGGCAGCAATCAAGAATAACCACTTTAGAAGGATTGGCAGTCTGTACTTTCTGTTGTTATTGTTGCTGACTTAAAAATTCAATTGCCACACTGCACTGGAGACATCTGGCTATGAATGGAACATGGAAGCTCTGGTATATTTTTCTTTTCCATGGGTATTTCCTATGGTCAGCTCTGCATAAGAAGTTTTAAGCTGCGGCTTCTGGGCTGTGGAGTACTTGCAGCTGGTTCACATAAGGCTGTCTAGTCACGTAGCATGAGCCCTCTCCTATTTCTGGAGGCTAAACTCCACTGAAAGCACAATATTTTTATTTTTTTTTTATTTTTTTTTAAGAACAGAAACTTTTCCACATGCACAGGTCCTGGAGTTCTCCTATGACTATCCCAGCTGCATGAGGAGAGGTGACCTCTATATCCACAAAGGAGAAGAAAAGAAAATACGACTGTTCTTGCATAGCACGAGTCTGGCTCTATTTAAACAGGAGCTGAAGAGGGTCCTGCAAGCCCTGCCTGTCCCCTCCTCTTCCAGAGATGAACTGTCCCACTGTAAGGGCTGCTGAGTGGGAGAGGTTGGCTTTAAAAGCTTTCCCTGGACAATACCCCGCTTACCTAGTTCCTAGGGAAGCTCTGGGGCAGTACAAGAGCTGATAAATGTGATGCTGGTTACCCAAGCAAGCCCATTTCTGGATGTGTCCCCGCAGGTGTTTCAGGGCATCTGCACATGGCAGCTGGGGAGGAGAACATGTGGAGATGGGATGCTCAGGGAAGCAGCACCTGCCGGTCACGGGGCAGCCAAAGGGAGCATGAGGGACATGTTTATGAACTAAACATAAAGGACTCCCACTTGGGATTTCTGCTGTGTGGGGAGGGACTCTTGTAGCTGAGGGTCCAAGGGCTGGGAGAGCCTTTCTCTACCTCCTCTGCCTCCTCCATCGCCCTTAAAGTTGCGCTGGGTTGATGTCTGTATGTTTTATTTGCGGGTGGGGAAAGCAGTGCTCACTCTGCAGCAGCCCACAGCACAGTGGGGCTCTCACTGGTGAGGTTTGGGGAGCTCAGCCCCGTAGGTGGGACCCAGTCCCTGCTCTCTCAGCCAAGAGCTTGTTCTTTCTTCATTTGGGGACACCTTTAGTTCAAAGAGGCTGACCTGCCTGCACACGCCTGCCAGTACTCCCTGTACCACTGTGTGCCTCAATAAAGAGCAGTACTAACAGCTTTAGACAGTCCTCTAAACTTTGCTTAAACCTTTAGAATACTTCTTTTGCTTTTCAAACCTTAATTTCTGAGTTTTGAAACATGCTGGCCTGAAGGCATTGCTGTCTTTTCAGACACACTGGACTTTTCCCTTCTTTGACTGAAAGGAAGAGGGGAGGAGAGGGGAGTGGCTTTTCCTCACCATGTCTGATCTCACTGAACACACTCATTGGAAAGACTTTATTCATTATTCATTATTATTCACCACAGGTACAAAGCAGTTCAAAAGGAACAATTTACCCTGTACTGCACATCAAGGCAAAACAATGGATTAGAAAGGTAAATGAAACCTCTGAATAATCTTCCTTTAGGAGAGCACAGCTGCAGTAGGAGTGAAATGAAGAATTATGTTGACGTCATTTGTAGTACACAGGATACAAAACTTCAAAAGTCATTTTTAATCTGTAAATTCACACCTGGGTTACCTAGATCTTCAAACACTGGAGAATTTTTCTGCACTAAATCTGGGCAAGCTATCAAGAATCTTCCTTTTCAACTATTTTTTGCTTTTCAAAACAAGCAAAAAGAAGAAAAGACTGATACAGCAGCTGATGTTTCACATCCAGAATAAACAAAATAGAACCAGGAAAATTACTTTTTTGTTAAAAGAAATACAATCACATATTATTAGCTTTAGAGAGTGTAAACTTCAGATTGAGTTCATCCAAAGGTGTTAGGGATTATTTGTAGGATTTCCCTAGAAAAACACACTTCTGTTCTGCCAGTCAGCTGTTGTGGCAGACCTTTGAAATTCTGCATCTCAGCACAGCTGTTTTCAGAAAGGAATGATACAACTTATCCTTTAAAGTTTTAGTAAATTTGAAAACATTGTGACAGAGCTTGCCTTAAATGGATTAAGCTTCCTAGTTCATGAGCTCTCTTTTTTCAGACCTGGGAGTTCCTTTGGGTGAATCTAGAAGTCACCTGCCAACACCCACAGTTTTGATGTGACTGAGAAGTTTTGTCTGCAAATAAACTGGGGGATATTGCACAATTTGGGGGCTTAGTATGAAACTGAGGATATGGTGAGGCTAAACAGAGACTCCTCAGTAGGAAAGGTTGGAGTCAGGAGATGGATCTGGGAGGTGGAAGGAAGGGTTGTAATGGGAGGTGAAAGGAGAGAACGATATGCCATGCTGCTGCCTTTCCATATGGCACTTTGGCATTCCCCTGTGCAGCCTAGGACAAAACATCTCCTGCCAGTTCTTCTGCACACCTTGAGAGCCAGACAGTTTTGGTACAACAGGTGCTATTTATTAAATAAAGATGGCATCAGCATGTTATGACAGTACTTGATAAATTTAAGGTTTATTTCTGCAGAGCCTTATAAGTCTATATCTGCAACACTGGATTGATGTTGCAGGATGTGCAAATCCAAGACCCACTTTTTTACCCCCAGTAATTTCAGGACCAAGGGTGTTGGCAGAGCCACAGCCACGTTCTCAGCAGCAAACATTCCTTGCTGCCCACAACCCTCCCTAGAGTTCATCATCTTAGATTTGAAGTCAGAAGGAATTTCTTCACTGAAAATATTACCAAGCCACTGCCCAGGGAAGTGGTGGGATCATCATTCCTGGAGGTGTTTAAAAGATACGGAGATTTGTCTCCTGGGACATTGTTCGGCGGGGAACTTGGCAGTGCTGTGATAACAGTTGGACTCAATAATCTGAGAGGTATTTTCCTACTTAAACAATTCTGTGATCCTATGGTCTGCCAGAGTTGTGTGCAGAGTTTACAGATGGGGGCCATGAGGCCAGGTCCCAAAGCCACCCAGTCCCACCAAGTGCCACACGTGTTCCTTTAGTTGGTGACCAGTTTCACATCTTCAACTCTGTCCAAATCCTTTTCCTAACCCTGCCAGGCAAAGCCAGTGGTTCTGATGCCTGCAAAGGACACACAGGCAGCTGGCATCACAGAATCACTGGGTTGGAAGAGACCTCCAAGATCACTGAGTCCAACCCAGCCCTAACACCTCAACTAAACCATGGCACCAAGTGCCACATCCAGTCTTTTTTTAAACACATTGAGGTGTCACCCTGAAAACTAAAGCCTGATAATGTTTTCATAGTTTTAGTTACTTTCCCATGAAAGTCCTGTAAACATAAGTTGTTTATCACATTCCTTCTAAGAAACGTCTTTTGATGGACGTTTCACATGACCAGTGTGCTTGGGAAGGTGGAAACTTAATTATCCAATCCCTGGTCATTGTGGAGAATCTATAAATACTGGAGTCAGAGAATAAAGTTTCTTCTTTCCTGTTCTAACACTGAGAGGCATTCATGTGAATCATTTCATGTCCTTTAGAGACATCCAGGGATGGTGACTCCACCACCTCTCCATTCCATTACTTTATCACCCCTTTGGTAAAAAACTTTTTCCTAATATCCAGCCCATATTTCCCTTGATGCAGATTGAGACTGTGTCCTTTCCTTCTGTCAGTTGATGCCTGGAGAAAGAGACTGACCCCCACCTGACCACAGCCACCTCTCAGGGAGTTGTAGAGAGTGATAAGGTCACCTCTGAGTCTCCTTTTCTCCAGGCTAAACAACCCCAGCTCCCTCAGCTGTTCCTCACAGGGTTTGTGTTCCAAGCCCCTCACCAGCCTCGTTGCCTCCTCTGGACGCGCTCAAGTGTCTCAATGTCCTTCCCAAACTGAGGGGCCAGAACTGGACACAGCACTCCAGGTGTGGCCTCACCAGTGCTGAGCACAGGGGGAGAATGACCTCCCTGCTCCTGCTGGCCACACCATTCCTGATCCAGGCCAGGGGCCATTGGCCTTCTTGGCCACCAGGGCACACTGCTGGCTCATGTCCAGCTGCTGTCACCAGCACCCCCAGGTCTCTTTCTGCCTGGGCACTGTCCAGCCACACCATCCCCAGCCTGTAATGCTGCTGGGGGTTATTGTGGCCAAAACACAGGACTCAGCACTTGGACTTCTTAAACTTCATCCCATTGGATTCTGCCATCCATCCAACTGTTCCAGGTCTCTCTGCAG